TAAACGAACAGAAGCCCTGAGACCTCAAATCCTCCACCCTAAAACCCGGAACCCAGCAGCTTCTACCCGCCCTCCCTTAGGGTTTAGGGGTTTAGGGTTTAGGGTTTAGGGTTTAGACGTTTAGGGTTTAGGGGTTTAGGGTTTAGGGTTTAGGGGTTTTAGGGTTTAGGGTTTAGGGGTTTAGGGTTCACTTAGACTTGACTTAACATCTTCTGAGCCTCTAAGCCAACCCCGCGTCAAACTCAAGCGCTTAGACCCCTGTACTAGCCCTCGACGGTCTAGGGTGTCCCACAGCCCTGGAAGGACCTACAAAGTAGATCCCTCACACGAGTTGTTCCCGCTTTCGGTTGTAAAAGTACTGGTGCTGAGAATGGCTTTGTTTTTGTCGTCGTTTAACATTATAACAAGGTTAGTTTATTTCGGGCCAGGAGCTGTCAAGGGAGGTCCTTCAGAGGCCAGGTTACGTTCGTCCTAGGCTCCTTGTTGCTGGATGGACTTGGCACTGTAGTATTGGGCACTTGAAGGATCGTGGGATCTACTTAGTAAGCAGTCGTCAATTTAGACTCGGCGTTACAAGTACCTCCTATCCTACTTCCTATTTTTCATTCCTATTTTTCAGCTTATTGACACCAACAACCCTGACTTTTTCCCCAACCCTTCCCATACTCTACATACTACAACCTTAGAACCCTAACAAGTAAAAAACCTAGCCGTGGACCCCCAACACTGAATCTTAAATTGTGAGTCCTGTGGCTGGGAAGCTTTCCAAGATCCCTGACACCGGCAACACTACGCATATCCCTAAGACCCTGAAGACCCTTGAATCCTGACACCTTTGAAGCTTTCAAGCCGGTGAAAGCTCGTAACCCTGCAAGCCCTAAACCTAAACAGCCCCTAAACCCCAGACCCTTCGAAACCGGCGAAATCTGACGGCCAGGAGCTTGAGGCCCTCACTGAAGATCAGTGAGCAAGCAGCCTTAGGGTTAAGGGTTCTGGACTCCCTGATGGATTCTATATGGGTTAGGGCTTCATAATGGGTGCTTTGGGATGTTGTAGGTTTGAGTGGCTTCAGGTGTCCAAAGTATGCAAAAATTAGCCACCAGGTTTTGGGATGCAGAATAGCAGAAGTTTAGTACCGCTGTTGATGATTAAGAGCTTTGCTGAGTTTGAGGGCCTTGAGAACGCTTCAGCGGCGGGGCTGAGATCCGACAACCGGATGTGTACATAGTCGTAAACCAGGCCAAAACCTGGCTGGGGTTGTCATCGGAATCGACAAGGACCTATGCCCTGCAGCTTAAATGGGAATCTCTTAAGGGGAAACGATGAAGGACAACTCTGCCTCCAACCCCACTTCCGGGAACGTCCTCAGAGTCTGTTGGAGTTGCTGAAGAGGACCCAAAGATGGTCTTAGGTGGCCCAGAGAAAATGACGGGGTGAGCACAAGGTTGACGGGATCTTCTGGGCTCCTGGTGGTGTTGAGGGTACTTGAACAACCAAAGCTGTTGCTGCTGCTACTACTACTCCTACTACTACTACTACTACTACTACTACTACTACTACTACTACCACTGCTACTAGAAGTAGAGCTAGAATTAGAACTGGCAGTAGCACTCGCACTCGCTCTAGTACTAGTGCTAGTGGTACTAGTTTGTTGTTTGCTGTTTGTTGTCTGTTGTTTGTTGTTATTGGTGCTGCTGCTGCGGCTGCTGCTGATGTTGTCGTCGTCGTCGTGGTGGTGGTGGTGGTGGTGGTTGTGGTTGTGGTTGTGGTTGTGGTTGTGGTTGTGGTTGTGGTTGTGGTTGTGTTGCTGTTGCTGTGGTTGTTGCTGTGGTTGTGGTTGTGGTTGTGGTTGTGGTTGTGGTTGTGGTTGTTATTGCTGTTGTTGTTTTTCTTATTATTATTCTTCTTCTTCACGTTATTCGTTGTTTCTTCTCCTTTTCGTTGTAGAAGTGCCAGCCAGGTGTCAGTCTACAAGCTCACATATTCACACCACTTCACCTCTACATCATGGGAGCAGCGCTGGCATGACCTGCATGTCTCCCGACACCGGTCCATGGAATCGGCTCCGGCGATTTGTTCAAGTAGAAAATCCGCAACATCATGTTTTCTCAGCGGCGCATAGCAAAGGTCCTATGACTATGACTATGCCTTATGACATTTGAGTGCAGTATCATCTCAGCTACAGCAGAGAGTGCGGAGAAGGCCCATGACATGTTCGTATACTGAGAATTTCTCGTGCATGTCTACTCCAGTGACTCAGTTTCAACCAGCCTTTTCTGCTGGCTGGGCTCCTGGGCAAGTCGCCCGGAACCAGCAATACAATATTTTTCGGGCAGAAAGCATGGACATGGCATCTCTAACATGCTGCTCTGCCGCCGGGTGCCGAGTTCGATCTTGAGCGCAGCTCGGGGATGTAAGACTTCAGCATAGTTATGTTCTAGAGTTATCAGTATCATAACCCCAATGCGTCCCTGTTAGGGTACTTATAAGTCTACTGACTACCCAATTACTAGGTCCCCCTAAACCCTCCAAGATCGCTTGTAGAACTCTCAAGGACCCGTTTAAAGAAAGCCTTATAGTACCTGTAGGGCAGTACCTGTAGGATACTTATAAGTCTACTCATCAGGATCCCTAAACCCTCAACCCCTAAACCGTAAATCCGACTCCCTTGTAGGGTGCTTATAAGTCTACTCAAACCTCTAAGCTTCCTTTTAGGGTTACAAGTCTACTTACTTATACATACTGTTGATGGACAAAATTCTGCATGACCCAAATATAGTATAGTACCATAAATCCCGTAGTTCAGGTAAAAAAGGTCATGCAGGATTTTGTCCATCAGCCGTAAGGCTTCAGGTCTTGGGGTTGCGGCCCGGCTTCCAGGGTTCACGGATCAGTCAGAGTTTAGGGGGATTCGAGGTTTAGGGTTTTTGGTTTAGGGCGTATGGTTTAGGGGTTAAGGGTTTAGGGTTTAGGAGTTTAGGGGTGGAGGAGCTTAGGGTTTAGAATTCGTTGGAATTGCGGAAATCAGAATAAATAGATCGAAGCGGATTGAACCCTAGCCCGAACTGTGTCCCAAAAGGGTCCTAAGAGGGGCAGTATGGGGTGGTTTGGTGGGGTTGCCGCTGAACCGTGCGCAAACGGGCAAACGAGAGCGGATTGCTCAGGCGGCATATTCAGGGCAGCGAGTCGCATCTTTCCTACATTCCCACCGCTGTGGTCGACAACGGGGGCCAATTTGTCATACTCGCAGCTGAGGGAAGACAGCACTGCTACTGCTACTTGCCCCGGACACTCCACGCAGTGTAGATCCGAGCAGCAAGCCCTTGCCTGCTTGGTATAAACTGACACCCTTAAGAAGGACTACTGGCCTTGCAGTTCAGAGGCTTAATTAGGGTTAAAGGTTTGTACGCAGATAGATGTGAAGGAAAGGTCGATCAGCAAGAGCACAGGCATTTCGAGATGTACTCCGGAACGGAAAGATCTCATCAAACTCTGTGGCAGTTAGTAAGCCTAGCAGCACAACCTACGTGGCTATCCAAACTGCAAGCCTCAAAACGCTGAGGGCCTCATGTATTTCGCATCCGTGAAGAGGCGGGTCTCTGCATGGGGCTACGGCGTCGGAGTTCAGGATTAGTGCCTGATGTAGGGGGCCTAAGTCATTACCAATACTATTTTGGGTTTTTTTTATTATCGTTATAGTATAATGGGCCCCGAAACCTTATTCTAAGTAGTCAGGCCCCTGTATTGAAGAAAGTCTGAGTGGTCTTGGAAGCCCATGAGCTTACGTAAATGGTGTCTACACTGGTGCGGAATGACCCTAAGTCTCCGAATATACAAACAGTATCTACATTGGGATCGAAACAAAGTCTATAAAACATGCAGATTGTGGGCTATTCTTAGGCACGTGTCTTGCACAACCGACCTTGCAAAGGGTATAAGCTACCATATACGCAACTGGGGTTTGGGGAAGCAGCGCAGAGGGTCTCTTTGTATTGGGTGCCGGGGTTCTGGGATTGACAAGTTGAGTGGCTTGATATGGGAGTTTCCGAAAATTAGGGTACCTTATTTTGGGGTACTTATAATAAGGATCCTACTATTTAGGGTACTATAGTAGGGTCCCCTATTTTCGGAAACTCCCATATAGGGGTCACGAGCACCAGTAATTAATGAAGCATATTTCCCCATGGGCCCTATCTAGATACCATATTCTAACGACCCGCAAAACCTACAATAAATGTAATCAAAGACGCCTAAACTAAGTTTGGGTTGAACCACCGTATGTGTTTGGGTTTTGGGGATACTTGAAGTTGTTTTGGGTTTATGGTTTATATGCGGGGCCCTCGTGATTTTGAGAGATTTGGTGCCAACTTCTTACACCAGACTGTGTTGAGAGGTGTCATCGGTGTGGTGTACAGGGGTCCGGAGTATGCAGAGTGCGTGCAGGTCCTGAAACCTCGTTGAAGTGATGTGGGCTGCTTTAGTATGTACTGGCGAGTGCTCAGCAAGAAAATCCTGCTTCAGATAGAAATTAATCTACCCAGAATTAGCAAGCTCAGTTACCCACCACCCACCCACGCTCTCTCTCTCTCTCTCCCTCTCCCCCTCGCTCTCTCTGACTCTCTCTCTCTCTCTCTCTCTCTCGCTCGCTTTTTCTCTCTCTATATATCTATCTCTCTCTGCCTTCTCTCTCTCTCTCTCTCTGTCTAGATATGTGTATGTATACGCACATGTTTCGTAATATTTGTGTACGTGCGTTTGTATGTCTGTGTGTATGTATGTCTGTATGTATCTGTATATGCGTATATTTACATACTGCCACGGTACATCCCCAATGGCTAACAGGGCTTCGAGGGGCTAGATATGCCCTTGGCTAGCCTCTTCCCTGTGACTCCAAAAATCTGGTCTGCAGGAGAGGGTTGGACAGAGGGTTGAGGGCTTAGGCTTGGGGTTGAGTGTTTCGGTTTGGGGGTTTTTAGCATAGGCTACTTGAGCCGCGACAAAGGTGTTCAGATGCTGCAGTGCGGTTTAGGGCTTCTCGGCTTCCCAAACTTAGGGCTTTTGATCTTGACGGCGCTATGTGCGAACTGCGTAGTCCTTCTTTCCATAGGAGAATAGACCTCAAGGGATTATTGAGACAGTTTCTGCCCTGGGTCACAGGGGCATATCGCCCTAAACCATCAGACCAGACACAGGCCAATTTAGCTCTCTGAACTGAAGCCCCCAACCCTAAATCCTAAACCATTAAACCCTGAAGCCTAGCTTTTTTAAAACACCTTAGCCTGCCTTTGGGCTGCGGCTTGCAGGTGCCACGCACGTCTGGCGCGCAAGCAAGTGACCCTCAATGTTGGGGGGCCGGGACTCCTGGGTGAAGCAGCGGCGAGAAGGGTTTATGTAAACATTGTTATATTTGGAATTCATTCAAAATGCATATACAAATATGTGTGTATACACATATATATATATATACACACACACACATGCGTGCGCATAATGGGTATACGCACAGACATGTGCTGAATGTCGACAGACGGACGTACGGCGGACGGATTTCATCGATGTTATGTATCTATAATACGTTTTGGTAGTTTGCTGTAAGGGATGAGTGCCGCAGTCGGGGTTGTCTTACATGTAGAACTATCTACAACGTTTCTTTTCCCTGAAGCCCGGCTAAGGGTGAAGAGGCTTCAGTTGTTTTCGGGTTTTTTGGGTTCAACATATAGGGCCTTAATAATACCTGTATTATTTTGGGAGTTCCTCTTTTATAATTATAGTATAATATACCGCAAAACCGTATTCTAATTATTTAGCCTTCTGCATTAGGATTATTGGCAGGGCCTGTGTCAGCCAAATCCACTCCGCAAAAGCAGTTGAGGGATTTGGTCAGAGGTCAGGGTGGTTGCTGGGACCCCGAGCCGTTAGCTCTGAACGCTAACCGTCTGTAATCCGCACATGCACTGGAAGAACTTGAATCCTGAAGCAAGAAACCGTCAAACTGTCTCACAAATTATGAGCCTTGACAGTCTACATTCTAACACCCGAAACCTCAAAGCCGTAAACATTAATGTCCTTAACATCCTAAAGCGCACTATGAGAGAAATAAAAGTGCAGAAAGCAACCCCCCCGCATCCTAATGTCAACCCTATACGCTTAACCCGATGCCCTAAACCCGAATCCTAATGTTCTTATCCTTCAACCCTGACTAATTCAGGCGACTTCTTGAGTAGCCTTTTTGGGTCAAACTGGGGTTGGGGCTTTAGGGTTTAGGTGGTTAGTTTTTGGTTTCGGGATCGGGTTCGTTCTTCGAGCTTAGGGTCGAGGTTCGTTTTGTGTTTTCAGGCTTCGAAGCCCCGACTGCTTGAAGGCTTATAGAACGGATGGTTCGATGTGCCATTGCCATGCTTTAGTGGTTTTTATTCCTTAAACCCTAAACCCCAAACTCTACACCCTATGCCCTATGCTGACGATTAAGGCCTCTCACAGTATCCTAACCCGAAACCCGAAGCCCTAAGCCCTCAACCCTAAACCCTAAACCCCAAACCCTACACCCTACACCCTAAACCCGAAACCCTAAACCCTCAACCCTCAACCCTAAACCAAGCAAGGGGCCTTGAATGCAAGGTGTTTGGGTTTGGGCTTCGGCGTTGAAGGCCTTTGGTTTGACACCGGGTCTGAGACTGTGTGTTTTGGTGTAGGATGTTAGGGTTTAGGGTTTAGGGTTTTAGGGTTTAGAGTTTAGGGTTGAGGGTTAGGGTTTAGGGTTTAGGGGCTTATGGCCTTGGGGTTCAGGAATTGATGAAACTAGAAGCCCCATGCATCCCAGGTCCATTTTCACATGTGAGAGGTCTACATTGGAAAGGTGCGATTTCCTTTCCCAGGCAAGTTCACGATCAGAACACATGCACTTCGACGCCTCAGCCCTAAACCATAAACCCTAAACTCTAAACCCTAAACTCCTAAACCCTAAACTCTAAACCCTAAACCCTAAACCCTAAACCGTTTACCTGGAGGTTCATGGGTCGGGTTTACCGCAATCTACTCAAGCTGCCTCTGACATCCCTTGAGGCTACAAATAGCCCAAAAGCCTTATGCAGCATAGTCTTTGGGCCCAGAAGCCCCCTAAACCCCAAGCCCTCAAACCCTAAACCCTAAGGCCCGGAAGCCTTAAAGTATGAGTCCTCAGAGCCTTAGGGTCTTTTTTCAGGTTAGAACTACTCAACAACTCTCAAGGAGGCTACATGAAGCAAGCACTCAGCCCCAATAGCCTTCCCGGGTTCATGCGATTGTGTCGAGACTTAAAGCCTGACGGGATTAGGGTTTAGGGCTGTAGGGTT